GGGAAATGTCTTGTAATTAACCAGAATATAAAGGATGAATGGAGCAGCCTGGCAGTCTCCTGTAGTCATTACCATCCAGAGGAGATGAATGTACCTAGTAAGGTTTCCATCAACCAGTTAGAGCCAGCACTCTTCTCTTGGGAGTCCCGACTGTGTTCACAAACAGTGAAAAAGCATGTATATGTGTGTGACTTATATTTTGTATATGGATATTTGTAGCCATGTGTTCACATGTGCATCAATGTGTACTTGTGAGTGTGCTTGCTGTAGACACAATGTGCTTGTTTGCATGGATATGTGCACGTGCACGTGTGCATTGGGGGTGTGCATTTGGGTGTAGCCAGGGCCATGCAACCAACCCCAGGCTCCATTTTATCTCCACTGCATTGATAGTTATAAACTCCTCTTTTTAGAGACCAGTACTTCAGTGTAATATTGTTGCGACTAGTGAGCGCTGCGTGAGTGAACGAATGTACAACAACATGAACGTCCCGGAAATTCTCTAAGTTCTTGTTGTGCTGCCCATCTGCTGAGTCTGACCTTCCTTCCTGAGTGGGTTTGTCAGTACACACTGTCAATCTAGAGGGAGACCTGCCCTTGTTCTCCAACCCTTTGCACCCTGCTCTGCCCCAGTCTGTCGAGCTAGCTCTTCGTGGAGCTCATTTTGTGGCTGATTTCCCATGGTGTTCCACATACCACGATCACTCATCACCCACCTGGGCAGGCTGTTTAAAAAACAAGTTGGCTATATGTAATTCACAGTGTGACTGCTTTCCTAGGATTGCTCAAAAAGGAAGACCCCAGAATCCAGAGGTGGTTTCTTGATGTTAGCATCCCTGGCGATATGGATCTTACCTAGAACTTATCCCCCAGCCACAGAAATTTCTTGACCCAGTCATCAGCTCCCACGTGGTGTGGAGCAATTGTAGGCTCCATCTCTGCAGAGCCTGGGCCCAGGCCAGCTGCACCTGAATGTATGTCTTTTAGAGATAGTTGTTGGTATGAGGAACCCCTGCCCCAAAAGCTGCAGCCCCTGCATTTCCCAGGCTAACATGATGAGGACCAAGACTTTATCTGTGGATTCTAATGTGCATCTGATGACCGTGTGGTGCCCACAGGCCACACGGGTGATGCCCCTTCTCAGACCCAGCTCAAAGGAGTAAACAAAGTTTACATTAAGGATCCCCTTCTAGCTTGTCAGGTTTCTTCTCATTCAGCTCTCATCACTTTGACAAATGCCACCCTATGGAAAGTAGCAGGAAGGAAAAGAGGAAAAGCAGAGGTTGGTTCCAGCTTGGGAGGCGTGATGACATCATCCTCTACTAAAAGCAGCCCAGCGAATATTAAGCACTGATCATCAGGTTAGACAGTCTTTCCTTGGGGATGAATGAGTGGAGAGGATGGACTCAGAAATGAGGAAGACTTTCTATGGCCTTGAGAGGGGAAAGGGGC